CGCTTGAGGCGCCGCAGAACTTCCCGACGTTGCTTGAAGCGTGTCCACCATAGACTTTGCATGTAAACCTGCTGCTCCTGACGCTGAAATCGCGTTCGGTGTGAACGCACCATAAGTGATAGAGGCCTGGCTGAGAGCAGCAGCGCCCTCTACTGGATGAAGGCAAAACTGCACTGAAATTAGTTTTAAATGGATGTTTTCAATTAATCGAATGGAAGGAATTTTAATCTAGTAAACCATAATTCGACAATTAGCCGTAAGTCGATTAACTGTTTGCATCCCTAGTAAATATACAAAACCAGAAACAAACTCCTCACCTTGTCTCTTTATATAAGCAGGCTCTGTCGCCTTCTGCCCTGTAGCCCCCTCTGTTTTGGGATTGAGGATAACATACTTGTTCTTCAGGCTGTCCAGCTGATAGGAGAAACCCTTGCTGGCTGGCTCAAACTCAATTTTCTGCAAAAGGACCTTTTTGGCGGAAGAAGCCAGCAGCTTGTTGAGGTCACCCTCATCGCTCGTCTCCTTCCGACCAGGTTTTAGCGCCTCCTTGAGTTTATCCACTATCGGCATTGTTGGTACATCACTGCAGAAGAAGACAGAAAGTCAGTGTCACATCACAGGACAGCGTGTCGTCTTATTAGATCAACAGCCTGTTCAAAACACACCCAGCAGGCCTTTTTGTCTTCACGTGTGCCAGGATTAAAAATAAATCTGTTGTACAAACAGAAGCCAAATTTATCTCCCTGCTATAAATAATAACTGTCAATTAACACTCCTATCTAGATACGCTTCATTCTACCTAACTGCAAGCATTGCCCTAAAAGACACAAGGACTGGATGCAACTGAGGAGCCAGCTGGGTCTTGGCAGCTGTCTCCCCACAGTTATGCAAGACATCAGATGCTAGTAACATGTGGTGGGGTAGTGTACAAAAAGGAGAATAGCACTTAGAGCACATCTTATGGTGAAAGGAGCTGCAGTCAAGTCACATTTAGACTAGTCATTTTTGATTGTATCAGCAGCTGAATACAKGCTGTTTCAAAATGAGTAAAAATTGTATTTAAAGTTGAGCATTTGTTAAAATAAAGAAGCTGAAAATTTAAAACTAAACCTGTCTGGACTGAAAAAATCTTTCTGGTGTACTCAAACATGCAATACTCAGTTGAGGAAATKAATATCAGATGTTTTAAGTACATTCAGTTCAAACTAATTAGCATAATACAGCAAATCTTTTGACAATAAAAAAAAGTGTATTGTGTTTCAGGTGCAGTTAAAAAACAGCAAAGACACACAGTTCCACGGGAGCCCTGCTCATCAGAGTGGGCAGTGACGTCATGAGGAGAAAGAAGGGCTGAACATGCATTGTATGCACAAGGACACACTGACCTTCCTGTGCTGCTGATAGAGATACAACCACGTCTGCAGGGACACAGCTAAATGCAGGGATGCAACTAATAAATCAGTCAACACTGCTGATGCAAGCTGCAACATGCTTCTTAATTAGGCTTTTTTTTTATTAATTAATCTATTGTAGATAGAGACGAAACACCACAGAGGTGGTTGTTGCATCAAGAACGTCCCAGTTGGATTCTCAGTTTAAGAAATTTCTGTGTCACGTTTGGATCTTCTTGCTGTGACTGTGTGGGCTTCCCTTTACTACTGTGCCCCCCAGTCTAAATACATGCATGTTAGCTTAATTAGTTTGTCTAAATGGACAGTTTTGGACGTGTGTCTATCTATATTAATCGTGACACATTGGCAACTTGTTCACTGTGTTTTCCAGTCTATAATATGCTTTGGGTATACTGTCAACCTGGAAAAAAGGCATACTTTACCCTTTGTTTGAAAATTATTGACGCCACATGATCTGAAATTAGTTAGACATTTCCTTGACTTTCAGGTGAGGAATATTGCTCATCAATACTAATATCTGCTAATAAATATTTACCCAAGATAGCAATAATCWTGCAACAGTTTGTTTTCTCTCCATAATTTGACTTGAAAAATAAAACTACTTGTCAAACATAAAGTGAAAAWAAATAAATAAATAAAAAAATCAGTGCGTGATGCTTTGATCAAGACATATGTCCATCCATTTTCTTCTGCTTATCCGGTATCGGGTTGTCTAAGCACAGAAACCCAGACTTCCCTCAACAAATGTTAAATGCCTGCATAAACTAATAGTGACCACACAAGATAAAACTCACCCTCACTAGCTTTGTTGTTTGTTTTGTCACACTGTTTACATTTGCCATTTTAACTTTTCTCCAGTGCCAGTTCTATTAAAAGACCAAATGTTCTCCTAATGATACAGTTAACCAGTTCAGAAAACTAAGACTTTTGAAAATTACATAATGAATGAGCAGAAGACATACACACTTAAAAAGGATACACGATGCAAGTTTTTAAAGCAAGAACAGACTAGCAAGTCTACTTCATGCCCTCACAGGTGTCAAATTAAGTAGACYAGAACATGGGTACCAGCAGACAGACTTTTAACAGATACATAAAAATTAAAGCCATGACATGACATTATGTGAGTTTATAATTTGGATGTATGCTCATTAGAAATTGTCACTAAGTGAACAACCTCTCTTTCTAAACAGTTGAAATGAACAACATTTTTAGCAAAATTAAGATCAGATTTCAAAAACACTTCAGCATGTGGATCATAATGGAAACCCCATCACACAACTGAGTCAGAGTGAATAACAACAAATCAACAATTATAAATGAGAACAGATCTATTTCCCTACAACTGCAAATATTTAAAGTTAATTATTGTGTAAGAATTAATGCGAGTATGTCCATAACTCTGTTGGGCAATTAAAATACACTACTACAAAACTTTTAAAAAAGCTAATTTCAAATTTATTCTTACTACAGTTGTTCAAAGTGTACATGTAAGGATTTTTTTTATTGTTACTGGTTATATTTACAAATCTGCTGAATATTTTAACATTTACATGTGACACGTAAAAAGGTAATCCACGGAGGGAAAAAAACACAAATATAAAACCTAAAACTGTCACTTAAAGTGGCAACAATTTAAAATTGTTTTAAAAAACTTGTCAGTTCATTAGTGACGATTATTCCGGTTCTAAGGTTCATTTCTGGTGTGTGGACTGAGCACTACGGGCCACTTATCAAAGCTTACATGCTAGCTGTTGCTACCGTCGATTAGTTGTTTAAGGGTCTAGGAGGTTTGTGAAATACCTAAAAAACGTAAACAAACCTTCGTTTTGTATTTAAATGTTTCGATATTTAATTGTGTAACGCTCCGTTCTTTTTACCGCTTCGTGTTACGTGTCTGTGCGTTTTTCAGCTGCAGTGGTGAACTAGCCAGTGAGCTAGCTTAACGTGGCGACAGCCTGCTGCAATGTGGGTTAGCATCTCAGAGAACAACCCCTGACAATCACATCCTCTCTGTCACATGACATCTGCCCGGAAGGTTACAGTCACAATTAATAAAACAAATTCATGCGAGCGTGCACTCACCTTGGGTTCAGTCGCTCTAAACATTCAACAAAATGAGTTTGATCCCTCAGCTGAAGCTACCGAGTCTGGTATTTTTTGCCCATGCTGCATTATAAGAGGGCGGAGCCAACAAATGACTGACAGGACACATAGACCAATAACATAAYGGCCAATGAAGTAACACGAAGGTTTGTCCAATCCACGCTCAGAGTGACGTTGCGCTGTCGGCAGAGGTCGACACGTGACTTCCAGCCAGCGCTGTTTACCATTGACGCAGTCGGCGCGAGAGATAACACGTGACAGCAGTAAAACGCACCTAAACAGGATTCGCATCATTGAGATAAATACAAGTCTAACAATTATTTAGATATGCTGCTTTAATACATTAATATTGCATGTAAACATGGGCAAATTCCATCCACAAACCTTCATCTCGTTGAGGTTCTGTACTCATTGTTTCATATTACATTAAAACGCAGTTAAAAATGAATATAACTTTATTTCTAGTCTAGACTAGTGCTTATAAAACTGAGCAGGTCATTTGCGAACATAAATCGCCCTGTGAAGCGGACTGCACCTCGTTCTCTCCACTAGATGGCAGCATGTCAGACTTCCTTCACAGCCTTAGATAAATAGATCACACTATCTAGATAATAGCTGTTCTGTAGAACCTCCTAGACTTCCTATATGAAGTGCCAAAGTGGACAAAAGCTGAATGGAAAAACGCTAGACTGATCACTCATAGATAGAAAGGCTRTTGGCCAATGGAGACAGGAGCACTCCCACTTTTAACATGAACGTGAATGGTGCATTTACTATTAAAATAAATAGCCTATGAGATGACTTGATCCATTTTCATCGGATTTTCAAACGGGTTGAGATTTTTTGTTATAAAATGACATATTTATTATAGGCATTCATATAAAAATAAGTAATAGCAATATATGCATAGAAG